CACCTACAACAACCACTACAGAATTGACAACTACCACTCTGCAGGCAACCACAACAAAGGAAGTCACCATCCTATCGACTTCAACAGCACAATCCACCACAACTGCACCTACAACAGCCACTTCAAAATTGACAACTACCACTCCAAAGGCAACTACAACACGTGAAGTCACCACCATATCGACTTCAACAGCACAATCCACCACAACTGCACCTACAACAGCCACTTCAGAATTGACAACTACAACTCCACAGGCAACTACAACAAAGGAAGTCACCACCCTATCAACTTCAACAGCACAATCCACCACAAATGCACCTACAACAGCCACTATAGAATTGACATCTACCACTCCACAGGCAACCACAACAAAGGAAGTCACCACCCTATCGACTTCAACAGCACAATCCACCACAACTGCACCTACAACAGCCACTTTAGAATTGACAACTACCACTCCGCAGGCAACCACAACAAAGGAAGTTACCACCCTATCAACTTCAACAGCACAATCCACCACAACTGTACCTACAACAGCCACTACAGAATTGACAACTACCACTCCGCAGGCAACTACAACTAAGGAAGTCACCACCCTATCGACTTCAACAGCACAATCCACCACAACTGCACCTGCAACATCCACTTCAGAATTGACAACTACAACTCCGCAGGCAACTACAACAAAGGAAGTCACCACCCTATCGACTTCAACAGCACAATCCACCACAACCGCACCTGCAACATCCACTTCAGAATTGACAACTACCACTCAGCAGGCAACCACAACAAAGCAAGTCACCACCCTATCAACTTCAACAGCACAATCCAGCACAACTGCACCTACAACAGCCACTACAGAATTGACATCTAGCACTCCGCAGGCAACCACAACAAAGGAAGTCACCACCCTATCAACTTCAACAGCACAATCCACCACAACTGCACCTCCAACAGCCACTTCTGAATTGACAACTACCACTCCGCAGGCAACCACAACAAAGAAAGTCACCACCCTATCGACTTCAACAGCACAATCCACCACAACTGCACCTATAACAGCCACTTCAGAATTGACAACTACAACTCCACAGGCAACTACAACAAAGGAAGTCACCACCCTATCAACTTCAACAGCACAATCCACCACAACTGCACCTACAACAGCCACTTCAGAATTGACAACTACCACTCCGCAGGCAACTACAACAAAGGAAGTCACCACCCTATCGACTTCAACAGAACAATCTACCAGAATCACAGAAGCAATCACCCAAGCCCCTACCACAACTTCACAATCCACCGCAAATACACCGACAACAACAGAGACAACAACTGTAAAATTAACAACAACCACACCGCAAACTACCACGCCAACCACAACAAAAGAAACTCTCACCCAATCAACTTCACAAACAACCACAAATACACCGACAACAGACACAACCACCGTACATTTGACAACAACCACACCGCAGACAACCACAACACATCAAGCCACCACACTATCGACTTCATCAGAACAATCTACCAGAATCACAGAAGCAATCACCCAAGCCCCTACCACAACTTCACAAGCCACCACAAAAACGCCAACAACAACGGAGGCAACCACTGTACATTTGACAACAACCACACTGCAGACAACCACACCCACCACAACACTGCAAACTTCCACCCAATCAACTTCACAATCCACCACAAATATACCGACAACAGAGACAACCACTGTAAATTTGACAACAACCACACCGCAGAAAACCACACCAACTACAACATTGGATACTACCACCCAATCAACTTCACAATCCACCACAAATACACCGACAATAATCACAACAATATCTCCAACCACAATAGTGTCACAAACAACATATACCCCAACTACAACCACTTTTCCAACAACAGCTTCAACAATATCTTCAAGAACATCTTCAACATCGCCAACCACAACAGCATCGCCATCTACAACATCTCCAGGTTAGTTATGTAAACATGACTTGGCCTCAGTCTGTCTGAGGCAAGGACCTATGTCTGACTATTCCACTAGCAGTGTTAAGATCTCGATTTAAAATGTGGATATCCACCTTTTGTTAAACCAGGTTCTGAAATGTACAGGAGTCGGTTGATGGTCTCAATGTGAACACCAATTATTGTGCTGCATAAATTATCGTGTGAATTGTATATTATTGCATAATAACATTAATATCCCATAGGTATTCATATTCTTAGGTTTTTCGGTAAAGTCACGTAGGTAAAACATTAAAATTAATAAAAGTCAAATAAAATAAAAAATCACGACGTTTCGGAGGCAACACAAGCTTCTGTCTTCAGGTGGAACCGTCACAGCCACGACAGCTGTATCAAGTAAATGAGAGATTGCAGGAGCTACCACTCCGTTTATATAATGGTTGGAGAAGGGGGGGGTAAGGGCCACGTGCAGCACACTTTTTATTCATATGGTAAGGTGAGGCTTAAGAGGGTGAGCCTTTGTTATGGAGAGGTACGGTTTGTGACTCAAACTGTGACAAGGAGACAACCACTAAACATGGTAAACCTGTAATAGTTGTCTGTCAAATAAGATTGGCAAATAACTGTAGTTACTTGATACAGCTGTCGTGGCTGTGACGGTTCCACCTGAAGACGGAAGCTTGTGTTGCCTCCGAAACGTCGTGATTTTTATTTTATTTTACTTTTATTAATTTTAATGTTTTACCTACGTGACTTTACCGAAAAACCTAAGAATATGAATCCTTGCAGTCACGAAAGCTTCAATTTTAGAATCCCATAGGTAATTTTAAATGTGGCTAACCCTCTAGAGATAATGTGAGAGCTCGCCTATATCTACGTTCATTCCACAAGTTTATGATAAGACAATTGGGAAATTCATTGGCGATATGAAATATATATTAAGTGCTTAAAATGTATATATTACTACGTCATATATCCATAAAACTTCAACAATGAACAATAGAGCACCATCTAAGACTATGTTTAGTTACCCATAATGTATGTTGTTTATTTACATGCAACTTTTCAGTACCAGGTTTGCCAAGAAATCTAACTCTTGCCAGTGGAGGAGTAACAAACACATCTCTGCAAGTCATTTGGCTGAGTGCTCTGGGAGATGTTGAACGATACACGGCCTTAATCTCTCCTGGAGATTCACCCTCCATTGCTGTTAGCCCGAATGGTTCACTCAATGCCAAGTTTGCTGGGCTGAGACCCGGAGTCCTATACATCATCACTGTGAAAGCCATTGGGAAAGGAAATCTCTCTGGTGAAGGAGTGTCTGTGACTGCGAGGACAGGTATTTTACACTCCAACTACATCGAAGCCATTTTAGCCGATTTGAGGGACATTTATTTAATGTCAATATTGTACACAAACAATATGTATTATGTTGAACTTCTGTGCTAATCAGAGGTGCGGGGAAGGGACAATAAACTAAATACAAAAAGCAGTTCCAAGGAAATTAGTTTTCAATCTAGATTAAAAAGTGCACAGCTGCAGTGGCTTCCTAATATCGGAAGAGCATTCCAGTCGGCCGCAGAAGTGCATCTGAAAGCGCGCAATGCAGTGATCGTCTTTGTTCGATGGTTAGAATATATAACTATTGTATAGTATGATACATAACTATTGTATAGTATTTGCAAAAAAAATGTATGCTCGAAGAATACGTATTTGAAAAATCAACGTAATGTGTATGATTTTTTTTTTACTGTAGATCACAGTAGATCACTTACATGATGATCATCCTTCATATATAATACCATAAATGTTATATACTGTATTTCAATCATGAATTGTACAATGCTGCTTCTCAAGGCGATGAAAGAATTATATTCTTTACATAGCACCTAAGATATGTTTGTGAACGTGCTTAATAAAGGAAGTACTTCCTGTATTAACGATATTAGATGTTCTAACATAGGCATTATAAATACCAATGAAAATTACAAGAAACTTTCACTTGCAGAATGCCACAAGTTATACTCATAACAAACGTCAGGAAAACTCACATATACGTGTCCAAAACAAAATACAATTATTGGAGAGACAATTTAAAAGCAAATTTGTAAATTACTCGTCATTTACAGAGTTGAATTTATTGTTTTCTATGAGGTAATCGTATGGGTATCCCCAGAGTGTAGAAGTGGGGACTGAATAGCCAACGAATGTGAGCTTTCCAGAAGTAGACCTGCCAGCAATGAGCATTAATTAGGTTACTGTGTAATATTCTTCTGAGTCAATAATGACAAACTTGGTCTACCATTCTCTGTCTGTTGATTAGACAAATTAGCTCAACTTAATGCAAGATGGCCACATTGCAGTTCTTCAGGAACTGGCGGGTTTGCATAATGCTTAAGGCCCGAAGACATTTTGTATGCACAGTGCACGTTTTTGTGTTGTTTTGTGTTGTATATATCCAGGGTAATCATTACAAGTGGATCAGGATTAAAACGATGAATGAAAGACATCAGAATAGAGCAATTCTTGTGAATTTTAACTTGATAAATGGAGATATAGATGTATAACAAAAAAAAGCGTTCCATGTGTTGCTGCTATCTTTGATGTATGGACGGGTAAGCATAGGGATATGTTCACAGACTGAAACCGTCACGGGAGGGCACATTTGGATGAGGGAACAAACACAAACCCGTTTAATACGTACACTTTCGCGACCAATATTATACATAAAACAAGTGTTTTGTGTTAGATCACGTAAATATCAATGGGGTTTACTCTCCAACACACCGATGTGCTGAAGTAGTAACTAATTGCCACGTTTTGTTTACGTGACAAACCTTACTAAATGGCTGTGTCGGGTGGTGTCGGTTAAACGACACATTTATATTTACGCGATCTAACCCAAAAAACACCTCCTAAAGGAAAACACAGCAGATTAACTGAAGATACACTCCTTTAAAAACTTATTTTTAAACAACGCTTTTATTAACAACTTCGTTTAACTCACGGTCGAGAAGTACAATACGTCAATGGCGCCTGCGTTTTGTGCGAGTAGATTCCACAGTTTAGGGACCGCGGCGTTTTTTTGACCTTCACAAAAATATATAATTAATTTGCCGTCCATACAAAAATTGTTATTGCTTGAAAGGAGACAATTCGTTGATGAATTCATGCCGATTTTCACATAGGCGTGCATTGTCACCGGAGCTGAGTACGTGTGCAAAATTTTGAATTGATTGGACAGCAGGAAGTAGACTAACTTTTGATTACAAAATTTGACCACAACAAACACAAGTGAAGTTAAATAAAACCGTTGAATAAAGTGAGCATGCATGGCCGATTCACAAAACTAGTGACGGAGCGCCAGCCAAAAGAGAGCAATGCACACCACAAGGAAAAAACAGTGGAGATGGAGTGATGAAATCATTTCATGAACACGAGTGCTTATTCATTTACTGTATAAGGGTATATCATCTATTGTGATATTTCCCCCCTGTTGGAGTTATTACAATTTAACACGTGTTGGCGTGTGTTAAAAACAACCACAACACGCAACAGCAACAAATTAAGGCAGTGACATTCCAGTTTTTAATGTATAGCTTCTACCAACGTGCACAACCGATTAACATGGTTGGCTACGTAGGGTGCGAAAGAAGTTCAACACACATCGGGACGTGTGTCTTATTATCAAACCGGATGCTGGTTTGAAGGGCACAAATGTTTGAATTTCCTGTCCATAGTTAACGCCATACTAAATCGTTTTGTACTCATCAGTTCCAGGGAATGCAAGGAATTTGACCTTCACCAGTCAAGGAGTGACCAACAAGTCCTTGGAAATTGTCTGGACGAGCGCTCAGGGCGACGTGGCACAATATGCGGTGCTCATCTCTCCGGCAAACGTTTCTGCCCTTTCCATCAGTCCAAATGGGTTACTCATCGCCAAGTTTGATCATTTGAGAGCAGGTGTCCTCTATGTCATCAACGTGAAAACCATCGATCATGGGAATAACTCCAATGATGGGGTATCTGTGACGCAAAGAACAGGTAACTTATCTCTGTAGCCTTTTAGTAGTAACTGAGGTTGCTTTCACAATGCTTACAGCAATTCGTTTGCACATATACAGCACAGCAGAAATCCAATAATTCGTGTTGATTTGAGAGGCTATGTCATAAATCATGTAATCAGCAGCACACCGCGCAGGTTTGACCAAACAATCCGTGCAATGTGTTCTTTTGCGCCCACGCGGTTTTGTGATGCAGATAAAAGGATGAAATATTCCATTAATCCGTGAAAAATGTGCTCATGACAGGGGAACAGTGCCTAAATTCATCCGCGAGTGGTTTCGTTTCTTCTCAAACCCAAATTGTGCAAATCCGTTATCAACGCGTATCGTTTTGTTACTCAACAAACCTCGACAGAGCAGTCCCCACGTTCTCCCCACCTGCTTGCACGGATTGTGATTTCCATTTTCGTGAAGCATTTTGAATCCACCGCGGTTTGCCGTGGAATTACCGGAGGGCATCGCGAACCAACAATTATAATTATCCACGAATTACAAGGATTCGTAGAATATTACATTTGGAATTATTGGTGTTCTGCTGCACTTGTTGATCATTTATACCCAAAAATGCCGTCAGTACACACACTTCTGTAGATTTACACTGTTTCATTAACATTTAGCGTGTCCTGTTATCAACATTACAGTCACGTATATGGAGTCAGATATCATCAGTTGGGTATCTATAAATGGATGACTGTGTTAATTAAAGTATAATTCGTATGATCTGTAACCCGATTATCCACGACTCTTATTATCCACAAGCTGTAGGATTTGTGGAAACCTATTATCCATGGCCCTATGGTTTCCTATTGTAAAATGTATACGTTAAGTAAATGTGTGGTTAATCGCAACCACAAAATTCAATCTCCCCAACAACATCACTGCAGATAAGAGGATATACTGTGTGCAGCTGTTTATATTTTTAGATATCCAGCGTGTGCCGAGATAGTTATATTTTTATGTATATACAATTGCGTTAATTTGTCCTTTTCAGCATCGTCTTAATTTCGCTTCTCGTTCACTTTATAGACGTTGACGAGTGCAGTGATGGGAACAACAAATGCGCTCAGGTATGCAATGAGCTGAACCTCTTTGAGAACAGCCAGGGCTACAACTGCAGCTGCTTCGGTGGCTTCAAGATGCAGCAAGATGGCATAAGTTGTCAGCGTGAGTAACGACACATAATTTTTTCTGCGGATGTGTCCAGGTTGTTTCACAGTGCACTTGATTGAGACACGCATCTTCTGGTGTAATCGGGACCCTATTTTCCATTGCCGTGGGTATTTTTACTGTATTTATTCTTGTTGGTGCTACCACAATGAGTACACTATACGATATGTTAAACATTTAGTACGCACATCAAACTGTAATGTTTAACATTTCTGTAGGATTGTGTTGCCTGTAACTTGCAAATCGCATAAAAGCAAAGCTTAATATTCTACGTGACAGTATTAAACATTTTAATGTAGTCTTCTTCCGCTCCAATAAATGTTAACGTAGAAAAATACAGTAAAGGGAAACATTTACATGTTTTGGAAGTAAAAGTAATGATGGTGTGTGTATACATGTAGTGCTGAACTCGACATGACAGCTTCTTGCATTTCTTCCTCACTTTATTCCGCTAATACCGATCAACATTCCTTCAGCGCGTTCTCCGCTCGCTCGCCGCCGCGTTCCGCCGGTCTCGCTCGCTCCGCGTCTCTCATTCTGTCGACTCTCCTCTCCACTCTCTCAGTCACAGTTCAGCCGCTCTTTATCAGCTTCGCCGTCACACTGCTACCCTATACTTTTCCACTGCTACCCTATACTTCGCCACTGCTACCCTATACTTCTCCACTGCTACCCTATACTTCTCCACTGCTACACTATACTTCTCCACTGCTACCCTATACTTCTCCACTGCTTCTGGCTCCGCTGTTTCCGCTCCAACATTCTTCTTCTGCTCCCAGGCACGAACTCCCGTCTCCTTCAAAACCCGCTCTCTTCATGCCCAAGCCAATTATTCTCTAATTAATCAGGTGGCGTCCCCCGCGACGCCCCTCACCCCCAGCCCCCGCTGGCACCCGCCACGTGTTCCAGACAACGCGGCGCCACTTAGCGACGACAACAACCTCCCGGCCAATCAGCGCCCTGCATCCTTAATCGCCCTCTACCACCTGTTACTGTCCTCAGACAGCGTGGCGTCGCATTTAGACAATAACAAATCCCAGCCAATCAGCGTCCTGTGTCTTTAATTGCCCCCTACCCGTCTCTGGCCTCGTCCTTGCATCGAGACGACAAAAACAACCTCGACCTCGTATGCTCCCACTGTACTCTGCGCACACGTGCCCCCGACTCCCGCGCGTGGCGCATATTTCAGGCACTACATACATACAATGTGTAGAGTGGTGATTGGTTGCAATAGTGGCAAATGTCGATTTAAATTCCTGGCAATGCACGTCGACGGCTGGCGATATCCAAATTTGACCCAGGCCTCCCCAAAGTCAACGTAGCCTTTAAAATAAATATTTGTATAAAAATTAGTAGAGCCGGTCCAGCCCCTGTCCCCTCTCCTCCTGTACTCAATCGCCCAATAACGATCAGAAGAAACACTCCCCCCCCCCCGCGTCGAAATATCGCAGTTCAATTTCTCATCACGAAATTCGCCCAAATCTCAATTGTGACAATAGCCGATGATATCTAGGAACATTTAACATAGGAACATTTAACATACAAACATCTGCCCGAAACATTAATAATGTCCCTCATAAACGTCCGAGTTCATCATAATACTTACACGTTTCGTTTAACATCGAATTCTATGAACAACGTCAATGAGATAAATCATATCTAACTGACAAAACATCAAAATCAGTTATTGTTTCTCATATTAATCTCACCGCTGCCATAGCGCATGTTCTGCTCAGCCCCATTAGCTCGCTCAATGTTGAAACCAAGCTCTGATCAGCCATCGTGCGCCTTTCCAATGTACAGCTCTACATCGCAACAACACCACTACCACCAAGTGTTTGCAATTGCAAAAACGAATTCCGTTTTTCAAAACCAAAACGCACTCATCATCTTCCAACTCCGTTATAGCTATTGATTCGAGTTGTATTGCTCAAAGTAAACACGTTTATTAACACTCGTAATACTGATTAAATAACTCGCCGCGAAGCCGATTTTCCGCGCAAATACTAAGTGGTGGAAGGGGAGGAGTGGAGGAGATGGCTGACTGATGCTGCCCCCACGTGTGGTGGTTGTCAGTACTGCTTGCCGCTTGCTTGCTGCTGATGCTGCGGCACTTCGAGGCATCAAAGCCACTCAACTTTGCCTCTCGACTCGCGATCAGCTCCGCAAGGCGCGCTCCGTCTGCGTCGCGTCCCAAACGCGCTCGTTATTTCCATTCATAGTGCGCGCATGTACAACAAAAATAAGCGCTCGTTATTTCCATCATAATGCGCGCATGTACAACAAAAATAAGCGCTCGTTATTTCCATTCATAGTGCGCGCATGTACAACAAAAATAAGCGCTCGTTATTTCCATTCATAGTGCGCGCATGTACAACAAAAATAAGCGCTCGTTATTTCCATTCATAGTGCGCGCATGTACAACAAAAATAAGCGCTCGTTATTTCCATCATAGTGTGCGCATGTACAACAAAAATAAGCGCTCGTTATTTCCATTCATAGTGCGCGCATGTGCAACAAAAATAAGCGCTCGTTATTTCCATCATAATGCGCGCATGTACAACAAAAATAAGCGCTCGTTATTTCCATCATAGTGTGCGCATGTGCAACAAAAATAAGCGCTCGTTATTTCCATTCATAGTGCGCGCATGTGCAACAAAAATAAGCGCTCGTTATTTCCATCATAATGCGCGCATGTACAACAAAAATAAGCGCTCGTTATTTCCATCATAGTGTGCGCATGTGCAACAAAAATAAGCGCTCGTTATTTCCATTCATAGTGCGCGCATGTGCAACAAAAATAAGTGCGAGTTAATCGGAACGCGCCATTTCAACCCCACGTTACGTAAAACGCGAGGCGACTCCACCGAGCGCCTGTCAGTCGATTGACGCAAATTGAACAGTTAGACATTATTTCTAGATTTGAAGCTTTCGTGACTGCAATAATTTAGCATGTGCACCTCTAGCATGTGCACTTGTTGTTCTCTTTTAGCCCCGCCCCCCCAATACGTTCCATTCATTGGCTACCACACTCAGATAAGCCCCTCCCCCCTCCTCCCCCCTTAAATTGTATTTAAGACCTTATATCTTGGAATTTTTTGCCTCACTTGATACAGTAAATCTAGCTGTGACGGTCCTACCTGATGACGGAGACTTGTGTTGCTTCCGAAATGTCGTGATTTATTATTAATTTTATTAATTTTAATTTTATTATTTTTTACCTACGTGACTTTACCGAAAAAAACCTAAGAGTAGTTAGACATTATTATTATTATTGGAGCTAATGTAACAACACACGGCTGAAAGGGCACTTAATCCACCCAAATCTAAACTGTGCACTTCGGGGGCTAGGGTCCCAATCCTTGATCACCACTGCATTAACTTAAACAATAATTTTAAAAACGCAACTGGTTACCCGTAGATATTAGCAGAGTGCTCAAATTATACGTGTCATACGTGTGATTAATCACAGGTGAGCACACACCAGCATCAGGGAGACAAAGCTGGTGAGGTGTGATGCTGGCCACACTTCCTGTGTCCTAGACTGGTTCTTAATAAGTGTTTGCTGTGTGTTTAATTCAGATTTAATTTAATATAGAAATATTAACAAATACAAGAACGGCAATGTATATTAATTCTGTACCTCAGAGATGTGAATACAAATGCTGCCATATATGCTGTGACTGACCCAAAGTCTTACATATAGCTCATATTTTCAACCTTTATAAGTACATATTTGAATCGTAAATCTAGGCAATGGTCAGCAGTGCATAAGCAATTTGACCAATTGGATGCAACTGGGAGTGAAGTATTATATCATGGACAGAGCCAAATTGAAGAAGGCCATGATCGCCAAAGTCTTTGAGAAAGGACACGGCTCATACAGAATAGGAATTGGAAATGATAACTAAATATTTAGAAAATGACTTCACTGTATCATTTTAATCGTGTGAATAAAGGAAATCAATGTCATTATTTAGAGTACAATATAGTATTGCCCTGCATCAAAAATGTAATCTAAACATTAAATTTCACATTCATCTATTTTGGCCATCTCGTTACACCCAAACATCACATGTTAGCTGTTTAATACGTTTACTGAATGTATAAGCACGTACATACAAACATATATTATTTTTTTACAACATACTAAATATATTTACAGTCAAATATAAAAAAAAACATTAAATTTGCTTGTAAAAATATTGAGTCATTGTGTATGCATTTCTGTACTGTTTCATTACACACGTTACGATTTGAATTGTGAACAATTACACTGCAATACCGTATGGAGGTTAATGCGCTATATATGTTGTATGTTATTTTTCAGCTATTGTGAGCTGCACACTGGCCTGTACCAATGGAAGGTGCTTTATTGATCCCAACACAAAGAGACCAACCTGCTCCTGTAACATTGGTTACGTCCTTGATAAAAGCAAGCAAAACTGCTTAGGTAAAACTGGATTTGCACGATCAATCTGTTGTATTTTTATGCTTTCTCCCACCTAGTATCCATTCGTTAGAGGAGATGTCAGTAATACTGTGTGTTTATTTAAAGCATTTAAGATTAAACATTGTTTTAAAATATTATGTTTCTAATCTGTACGTACCCTCAAACATACCTCTAGACCTGCTGCTTAGCTAGTTATATAAGAATTATTATGATACATTGCCAATACTGTGTTGTTTAAGCTCAATTGCCTGATAACTACATGCAATGCTACTGAATGATACATATTTAAATGAATAGCTGTTAGTTGCAAGCAATGCAATAATTGTCATGATACATTGCCAATACTGTGTTAAGCTCAATTGCCTGATGACTGCATGCGGTGCTCTTGAACGATACAGATTTGAATGAATGTGAAGAACAGCCTAAACCGTGTGAGCAAGAATGCTCTAACACCATCGGAAGCTACAAGTGCTCCTGTTCTCCTGGGTTCACGCAGGATCTCGTTGTTGCTAACAGATGCATTGGTACGTGAAAACCGTCACTATGGAGATTTTTCCCAGTTCCACAGCCCTTGTGTTTTTTCTTTAAACAAACAAAGCATGATCGAGGGAAGAGTGATTGGGCTCACTGTCCCCCTACTCACGTAGGGGCAACGATCAGGAATTTTTACGGGAGCGAAAGAAGAGGGAAAGGAGGGGTGTACTCAAACAGAACCGCACAATACAATAACATAGACACGAAATGAGTGAACTTGACGTTGTTAATTCCCCACATCATCTTGGTCATAGGTTTTTGTTTTACCATACTTCGTTAGTGCGGTTTGGGGGATGTGTTGTTAAGGATATTAATTGCATTGGTACAGCAAAATTGAGTTGAAAGAAATAAGTTGGACTGAGCCATTACATTTTACATGATACACATGTGTACCATTTTACTATTAATAATCGTAACATACCTGTTACAACTTAATGCTGGGCGATGGTTGCTTTGCACACCTGTAATCCAGGATGGTGGAGGTGAGAGTTGGTGGTACGCACAAATATTTTGAAGCTCCCTTCCCGTGGGCATTAAGGTGCCATACCCTAGGCTCGCCAGGAGAAGGAAGAACACCGAGTCCAATAATAGCTATCATACGTTTTGATTCCTTTCGGGGATAAGAGTCTTGCCCCCTTTACACGTGCGCTTTATCGCTGGGTGCTACAGTGGTTTGTTCTCCTACTTGTATAGACACTCAGTAATTGCCTGAAAACATCAGTTTTAAAAAAATCCCAATGGAGAACCTTCGTGGAAAAAAAGAGTTCTTAGGGGGGTTGGGGGGGGCCTCGTGGATGAACGAGTAAATCATTATTAGAATGAGCTGTGTGCTACTCAAAGGCTTTACTTCATTTTTATGTTTTCTTTTGTTCCCCACAGATGTTGATGAGTGCCAGAGTAATCCTTGCACAAATTCTGGCACCTGTCAAAACATGGTAAATAAATTCTCCTGCCATTGTACCAGTGGGTGGACCGGTGTCTACTGTGATGAAGGTGAGTGGAACATTTTAATTACATCAATGTTTGTGGGATAAATGCTTCTGAGCATGTGGATGTAGTTTATGAACTTATAATGGAAACACCATACTTATAGAGGCAACAATAAGCTTGGTGATATTACTACTACATATTCAACGTGATGTCAGTTTGGGGAAAAACATGCTTACATGTACGCTATGTTAATTTAGTATAACACCATTTAGCAGAAATGTCTTAATCAAAATGTATTTTTGTAAAAAAAAGTTAACCGGACGTTTTACATCGATGGGTACATTTTCATGACCTTTCGTGTTTGTGTGTGTTTTTGCAGATGTAAATGAATGTGCCTCTAGACCATGCTCCCATGGAGGAACCTGTGTCAACACACCGGGCTCCTTCTCTTGCAGATGTGCACCCGGTTGGAGTGGGACCCTCTGTACACTGCGTAAGCTGATACACATCCGTTGTCTAGTTTTGATAAATTACTCGCAAAATCACTGAATTGGGAATAACCAGATAGCAACGTTGGCCCCTACTGGCAGATGAAAGCCCACATGCAGGCCAGTGTTGCGTGCGCTGAGTGCCGCACAGGGACAGCTGCCACTGGGGAGAATCCTTAGCCAAACTGCAGCAGGGTATCAAAATGGTTGAGATGAGATACGATGGAGAGCACTTTGAGTGCCCTATAAATGCAAATACTTAAACGCATTCAAAAGTCCATGAATACTAACAAACATTTCTCTTTTTATTATTATTACACGCTTTTATTTAACTCACTCCGTCTGTTGTCGTAACCTCAAAAAATATTCTAACTCAATTTTACCCACTTCCCAATGTGATATCGACTGCAAACTTGGTATGCTTATGTCATACTGATGACAAGACTATATTCTATCATTAAAATTTTAAAATATATATTTTTTAACATTTTACACGCTTTTTTATTTAACTCACTCTGTCTGTTGTATCCTCAAATTTTGTACCTCAATTTCAACCGTCTTCCCAATGTCGTATCGACTGCAAACTTGGTATAGGTATGTCATACGGATGACAATAATATATTCTATCATTGAAATTTTAAAATATATATTTTAAACAATCTTTTTTACGGCTCTAATTGTCCACGCTCAACTCACGTTGCCTGTAAATCACCACAGTCCCTTACGTCACGGCAAGCCTCGGGGAGCCACGCCGAGGGGCGGGGGATGTGGAAGGAGGGGAGGGGCGATGGGGGCAGGGGAGGGGCAGCTCGGACAGTGCATTTTATTAAAGCGTGTTTTTTTAAAAAGTATTTTTAAATATTGTATTTCTTTGTGTACTCGGTTCACGATAGCAAAAACACATTTTCTATATGGGAAATGTAGATGTAGCACCAATGTCTGCACATTGATGCTTTAACACCTATAAACTTCACAAATAAAACGTATATATTAAACTAGCGGAAGTACCCGGCGTTGCCCGGGTGAAAAATATATTTCTTAAAAACTTTACATATATACACAGATACTAAGGTATTGTCAAAGCCCGGTGGGCTTTGACAATACTCACCACTCACGCTCACCACTCATCCTCACCACTCACCCTCACCACCACCACTCACCCTCACCATTCACGCTCACCACTCACGCTCACCACTCACCCTCTCCACTCACCCTCACCACTCACCCTCACTAATCACCCTCACCACTCACCCTCTCCCTGACCACTCACGCTTACCACTCACCACCACCACTCACCCTCACCATTCACGCTCACCACTCACGCTCACCACTCACCCTCTCCACTCACCATCACCACTTACCCTCACCACTCACCCTCACCACTCACCATCACCACAAACCCTAACCACTCACCCTCACCACTAACCCTCACCACTCACCCTTACCACTCACCCTCACCACTAACCCTCACCCTCACCACTCACCCTTACCACTCACCACTCAACCTCACCACTCGTCCTCACCACTCACCCTCACCACTCACCCTTACCACTCACCACTCACCCCTCACCACTCACCATCACCACTCACCCTCACCACTCACCCTCACCATTCACCACTCATGCTCACCACTCACCCTCACCACTCACCCTCACCACTCACCCTCACCACCACCACCACTCACCCTCACCACTCACCCCTCACCACTAACCCTCACCACTCACCCTCACCATTCACCACTCACGCTCACCACTCACCCTCACCCCTCACCCTCACTAACCACCACCACCACTCACCCTCACCACTAACCCTCACCCCTGACCACTCACCCTCCCCACTCACCACTCACCCTCACCACTCACCATTCCTACTCACCACTCAACCTCATCATTGACCACTCACCACTCACCCTTACCCTCACCACTCACCCTCACCCTCACCACTCACCCTCACTACTCACCCCTAACCACTCACCCTCACTACTCACCATCACCCCTTATGCTCACCACGCACCCTCACCACTAACCCTCACCACTCACCCTCAACATCAACACTCACCGTCACCACTCACCCTCACCACTCACCATCACCACAAATCCTAACCACTCACCCTCACCACTCACTCTCACCACACCCACAGCACTCACCCTCCCCACTCACCATCACCACACACCCTCACCACTCACGCTCACCACTCAACCTCACCACTCACCCGCACCACCCTCACCACTCACCCGCACCATCCTCACCACTCACCCTCACCACTAACCCTCACCCTCACCACTCACCCTTACTATTCACCACTCAACCTAACCACTCATCTTCACCACTCACCCTCACCACTCACCTTCAACACCAACACTCACCACTAACCACTCACTGGTGATGGTGGGACCTGCTATAACAGCAGTGCATGCCGACTGTGGTGGTACCTGCTATGACTACAGCAGTGCATATTGTGGTGGTACCTGGTATGATTACAGCAGTGCATATTGCTGTGGTGGTACCTGCAATGATAACAGCAGTGCATACTGACTGATGGTACCTGCTATAATGACAGAAGTGCATACCGACTGAGGTGGTACCTGCTATCACTACAACAGTGCATACTGACTGGTGGTACCTGCTATGATTACAGCAGTGCATACTGCTGTGTTGGTACCTGCTATGATTACAGCAGTGCATACTGCTGTGTTGGTACCTGTTATGATGACAGCAGTGCATATTGTGGTGGAACCTGCTATGATTACAGCAGTGCATACTGCTGTGGTGGTCAGTTTAACACGTAGGCTTTCGCGACCAATGTTATTCATAATCAACGATTTTTGGGTTTAGATCGCGTTTATTTATAAATGTGTCGTAACCCTCCACCACCCGACACGGCCAATCAGTAAAAATGTGTCACGTTGACAAAGACAAATAGTTCACTGCTTTGGGCTAAAGCAGTGAACTATTTGTCTTTGTCAACGTGACACATTTTTACTGATTGGCCGTGTCGGGTGGTGGAGGGTTACGACACATTTATAAATAAACGCGATCTAAACCCAAAAATCGTTGATTATGCTGTGGTGGTATCTGCTATGATGAGAGGAGTACATATTGTGGTGGTGGTACCTGGTATGAAAACAGCAGAACATACCGAGTGTGGTGGCACCTGCTATGACGACAGCAGTACATTCTGTGGTGGTACCTGCTATGATGACAGCAGTACATACTGTGGTGGTGGTGGTACCTTCTCTAATGAGAGCAGTACATATTGTGGTGGTGGTACCTGCTATGATTACAGCAGTGCATATTGACTGTACTCATCATTCACCCACACCATTCACCACTCACAACTCACCCTCACCACTCATCCTCACCACTCACCACTCTCACTCACTACTCACCCTCACCATTCACCCTCACAACTCACCACTCACCAATCTCCCTCACCAATCTCCCTCACCCTCACCAATCACACCCTCACCAATCACCACTTACCCTCACTGCTCACCAATCACCACACACCCTCACCACTCACTCTCACCACTAACCCTCACCACTCTCCCTCACCACTCTCCCTCACCACTCTCCCTCACCACTCTCCCTCACCACTCACTCTCACCATTCACCCTCACCATTCAGCCTCACCACTCACCCTCACCACTCACCACTCACCGTCACAACCACCACTCACCCTCACCACTCACCCTCACCACTCACTCTCACCATTCACCCTCACCATTCAGCCTCACCACTCACCCTCACCACTCACCGTCACAACCACCACTCACCCTCCCCACTCACCCTCACCACTCAACCTTACCCTCACTACTCACCATTCATCCTGGCCAATCACCACTGACCAATCACCACTCACCACTCTCCACTAACCCTCACCACTCAACCTCACCACTCACCCTCACCACTCACTCTCAAAACTAACCGCTCTCTCACCACTCACCCTTACCACTCACCCTCACCACTCAGCACTCACCACTCACCCACACCACTCACCCTCACCACTCACGCTCACCACTCACCACTCACCCCTCACCGCTCACCACTCACCCATCACCACTGACAACCGCCACTCACCCTCACCACTCACCTTCACAACAACCACTAACCCTCACCGCTCACCACTCACCCTCACCACTCACCCTCACCACTCATCCTCACCAATCACACCCTCACCAATCACCACTTACCCTCACTGCTCACCCTCACCACTCACCACTCACGCTCACCCTCACCATTCACACCTCACTAACCACCACTCACAACTGCCACTGACCCTCACCACTCACCCTCACCACTCACCCTCACCACTCATCCTCACCACTCACCACTGACCTTCTCCCTAACCACTCACCCTCACTACTCCCCACTCTCCCTCACCACTCACTCTCACCATTCACCATTCAGCCTCACCACTCACCCTCACCACTCACCCTCACCACTCAACCTCACCCTCACTACTCACCACTCATCCTCACCAATCACTACTGACCAATCACCACTCACCACTCACCCTCACCACTCTCCACTAACTCTCACCACTCACCCTCACCACTCACCCTAACCACTAACCACTCTCTCACCACTCACCCTCACCACTCAGCCAGAGGTGGGACAAAGTCATTGTTATGCAAGTCCAAGTCGAGTCTGAAGTCATCAAATTCATGACTCGAGTCTGACTCGAGTCCAAGTCACATGACTCGAGTCCACACCTCTGCCACTCACCCTCACCACTCAGCACTCACCCTCACCACTCACCCTCACCACTCACGCTCACCACTCACCCCTCACCGCTCACCACTCACCCATCACCACTCACAACCGCCACTCACCCTCACCACTCACCCTCACCACTCATCCTCACAACAACCACTCACCCTCACCGCTCACCAATCACCCTCACCACTCACCCTGACCACTCACTACTCATCCTTACCAATCACACCCTCACCAATCACCACTCACCCTCACTGCTCACCGCTCACCACTCACCCTCACCACTCACCCTCACCACTCACCACTCACGCGCACCCTCACCACTCACCCCTCACTAATCACCACTCACAACCGAGGGAGAGTGGTGAGGGTGAGTAGTGAGAGTGAGTAGTGAGGGTGAGTTGGGAGGGTAAGTGGTGAGCGAGATTGGTGAGGGCGAGTGGTGCGCAAGAGTGGTGAGTGGTGAGGGTGAATGGTGAGGGTGAGTTGTGAGGAAGAGTGGTGAGGGTGAGTGGTGAGGGTGAGTGGTGAGGGTGAGTGGTGAGGCAGAGTGGTGAGTAGTGAGGATGATTGGTGAGGGTGAGTAGTGAGGGTCAGTGGTGAGCGTGAGTGGTCAGGGAGAGGGGTGAGTGGTGAGGGAGAGGGGTGAGCGTGAGTGGTGAGAGTGAGTGGGGAGTGGTGAGGGTGAGTGGTGAGGGTGAGTCGTGAGTAGTGAGGATGATTGGTGAGGGAGAGTGGTGAGGGTGAGTGGTGAGCGTGAGTGGTGAGGAAGAGTGGTGAGTAGTGAGGATGATTGGTGAGGGTGAGTGAGTGTGAGTGGTGATGGCGAGTGGCGGTTGTGAGTGGTGTTTAGTGAGGGGTGAGTGGTGACGGTGAGCGTGAGTGATGAGTGGTGAGGGTGAGTGGTGATGGTGAGTGGTGAGCGGTGAGGGTGAGCAGTGAGGGTGAGTGGTGATTGGTGAGGGTGAGTGGTGAGGGCGAGTGGCGGTTGTGAGTGGTGATTAGTGAGGGATGAGTGGTGAGGGTGAGCATGAGTGGTGAGTGGTGAAGGTGAGTGGTGAGGGTGAGTGGTGAGGTTGAGTGGTGAGTAGTGAGGATGATTGGTGAGGGTGAGTGGTGAGCGTGAGTGGTGAGGGAGAGGGGTGAGTGGTTAGGGTGATTGGTGAGGGAGAGGCGTGAGTGGTTAGGGTGAGTTGTGAGGGAGAAGGGTGAGTGGTGAGGGTGAGTGGTAAGGGTGAGTGGTGAGGGTGAATGATGAGCGGTGAGGGTGATTGGTGAGGGTGAGTGGTGAGGGTGAGTGGTGAGGGAGAGGGGTGAGTGGTGAGGGTGAGTGGTGAGTGGTGAGGGGTGAGTGGTGAGTGGTGAGAGTGAGCGTGAGTGCTGAGGTTGAGTGGTGGTGGTGAGGGTGAGTGGTGAGGATGATTGGTGAGGGTGATTGGTGAGGGAGAGTGGTGAGGGTGATTGGTGAGGGTGAGTGGTGAGGGTGAGTGGTGAGGGTGAGTGGTGAGGGTGAGTGGTGAGGGAGAGGGGTGAGGTTGAGTGGGTGAGCGTGAGTGGTGAGAGTGAGTGGTGAGTGTTGAGGGTGAGTGGTGAGGGTGAGTGTTGTGTAGTGAGGATGATTGGTGAGGGTGAGTGGTGAGGGTGAGTGGTGAGCGTGAGTGGTTAGGGAGAGGGGTGAGTGGTGATGGTGAGTGGTGAGGGAGAGGGGTGGGTGGTGAGGGTGAGTGGTGAGCGTGAGTGGTGAGGGAGAGGCGTGAGTGGTGAGGGAGAGGGGTGAGTGGTGAGGGAGAGTGGTGAGGGAGAGGGGTGAGTGGTGAGGGTGAATGGTGAGCGTGAGTGGTGAGGGTGAGTGGTGAGTAGTGAGGGTGAGTGGTGAGGGAGAGTGGTGAGGGTGAGTAGTCGTGGTGAGGGTGAGTAGTGAGGGTGAGTGTGAGTGGTGAGGGTGAGTGATGGTGAGTGGTGTGAGTGGTGAGGGAGAGTGGTGAGGGTGTATATATTTTTACCTATGATGACAGCAGTACATGCTGGCGTTTTGTATGTTAAATGTAAAAGCTAAAGTGTGAATGTGTGTGTCTGTTGGAAATGTCAAGCAAACTTGGCGACACGCAGATTTTAAAACAGGAATAGGACGATTTTAAAGTAATCTACCACCTTCGATGAGTCCTTGGCGCGATTCAAAGAATCGATTCCTGGCGTGTTGGGGGTTTACATTTTGAATGACAGAGTTTTATTTTCATTGGTATGTTATGTTTTAATCTTTTCAGGAGTTTTTAATTATATTTTTGCCCCGGTCAACGCCGGATATTTCCCGTTCGTAGCAATTCATATCGACTATAACCAACTTATAGTAAATGGGAATCGGCCGATTCTAAATGAGTCTACAACCTTCGATTCCTTTGCGCGATTCAGAGAATCGATTCTTGGCTCGGTCGGGTTTAAAATTTTAATTACACATTTGTATTTTCATTGGTATGTTATGTTTTAAAATTTTCAGAAGATTTTAAATGTATTTTTCCCCCGAGCAACGCTGGGTATATCGAGTTTATAGCACAAGTCCTCGCCTGACAAGTGTGGGGTGTCGAGGCCTAGTAACGTGCAGAGCCTCCGGCCTCGCCGAGATTGCCCACCTGGGCGAGGCTGGAGGCTGGGCCGCTACCCCCCCACCCCCCCGCGCTACAAAAATACTGTCTAATCGCTATAATTTTATTATCTATCGACCCTATAATAGTAAGTGCACACATTGGGGTGGGGGGGACGTGAAACTTTGATGAATTTATCTCAGCGTCGCGTGTTAATGCGTGTGCATATTTTTAACGGGAATTAAAAATGGCGTCCACCCCGCAGCGACGGCGTTGCTGCCCGTTGCCAGGGGCAACTGCCCTGGTCGGCATCTCGCGCATGCGCAACGGTGTGCTTCGTCACGTGCCGGCCAGCAATAGTAAATAAATAAATAAAGAGGCATCGCACTAAATCGATAAGCGAACCGATTTAAAGGCGACTGACGAAAAATCGGAAATGCCTATGTTCACCGCGGGGCACGGGACGTGCCTCCTGCCAAATCCCTCGCAAGCGAGCGTACGCAGACAGACAGATGGACAGACAGACAGATGGACAGACAGACAAAAAGTGACGTTTATAGGTAAGATACAATTCTACAACCTCACACTGCCTATTTAGATCTTTTCTTTTCAGCAGACATGAAACGGTGGTTAATACGAATGACATTTTGCGTCTCATTGTTGTTTATCTGGAGTGTGCAATGTGGCCCTGTGCCATCGTGTAGACTGCACAAGTTGTGTGTTCACACTGCCATTTGCTTCCCTTAGTTGTGGATGAATGTGCTTCCAACCCGTGCATCCACGGCACCTGTGTGGATCAGGTCAACGCCTTCTTCTGCAGATGTGACGAGGGGTGGTCGGGCAACACATGCACTACGAGTGAGTCCTGATCAAAGCTCGTCTTCACTGAAAAACTTTTAGATCGATCACATCTCAGATTCCCTCATATACATATGGAGCATACAAAAAAAGTGTCTCGATTTAAAGCTTTCGTGACTGCAGGGATTCATCTTCTTGGTTCTTTCGGTAAAGTCATGTAGAAGGGAAGTAATAAATAATATAAAAAAACATAATAAAATAATTCTCACGACGTTTCGGCCACAATGCAAGCAGCCGTCCTCAGGTGAAGAATGAAACACCACCAAGCTTGGAGCGTATATTTAAGCTGGGTTGGAGGGGGGGAGGTGGGCAGAAGAGCGCCTTGACAAAGAATTTGCATATCAAGAGGAATTTAGCATATTTGTAATAAAAGACTCGGACGCTTCTCTCTGTCCTGTGTCCTTTATTTGGGTTCGATCTCTTTTCCCTCACGGCACTCCCCTTACTCTTCGCTCTGCAGCCCAGGCTGCTGTCGCTCACGTAGCCCACTTCCCTCCTTGCAGACCCGCTGCTGTCTCGTCATGCAGACCCCCGCTGCCCAACTCCACCCTTGCAGACCCGCTGCTCTCTCTGCAGTCTCCTCGCTGCTCCTCCAGCCCCGGGGTCGGTCACCGTTGGCCGACGGTGCCGATCCTCGGGGTCTGTGTGTGTGGCGATCTCGCCACTCTCTCTCTTCCCACTCCGCCCTGCGTGGCCTCACACTTTCCCAGTCTCCGATCACTCCCCTACTGCTTCCGGTTTCTCCCCTTATAGACCTGAACCCTCTCCCCCACGTGACGTAACTCCTCCCCCCATGACGTCACCTCCGGAAGGTCGTCCACGCCCGCATTACATATTTATGGGAAATGCGTAGGAGGTGTGTGGGGGGTTTCAAAGTCATATTATGCCCGTGCATTATGCAGGATTAGCAGCATCAAAGGAAGGACGTAATAAACCATTTCGGAGCTTAACTGATTGTGTTCACGTTTACGGTGACTTTCAGACCACAGTCCACTCACTGGCATTGACTATATATCTTGTATTCTCCACATGGAATGGATTCTTTGCTCCGCTGCAAGTCTCCTTCCATCACTCTCCTGATGATGCTATGTAGTTTATACTTTAGTTTTTTACGTGGTTGTTAAGTAACTGCAGCTACATACTATTAACATTACTTCCCTTTGTTAATGCTACCCCCATCCCCCTCCCTTTGATGCTGCTAATCCTGCATAATGCACGGGCATAATATGACTTTGAAACCCCCCGCCCACCTCCTACGCATTTCCTATTGATATGCAAATTCTTTTGTCAAGGCGCTCTTCTGCCCACCTCCCCCCCTCCAACCCAGCTTAAATATACGCTCCAAGCTTGGTGGTGTTTCATTCTTCACCTGAGGACGGCTGCTTGCATTGTGGCCGAAACGTCGTGAGAATTATTTTATTATGTTTTTTATATTATTTTATTACTTCCCTTCTACATGACTTTACCGAAAGAACCAAGAAGAAGAAAAAAAGTGTCTTTAGCTCAGTACGTGTGCTTCGTTCATAACAAGCTCCCAAACACCGTCCTGTGGTGTGAGCAGGCAGATGCACTACTACGATAACTGAATGGCAACCCAGGAATAGGTAGTTTACTTCTACCCCTTACTATTGATTGTCGTGCCACTTGAATGCCTTTAAGCTGAAGTTTAACGGGCACATTTTCAGCTTTGAAGCTTTCGTGACTGCAAGGATTCATATTCTTAGGTTTTTTCGGTAAAGTCACGTAGGTAAAAAATTGAAATTAATAAAGTAAAATAAAATAAAAATAAAAATCACGACGTTTCGGAGGCAACACAAGTCTCCGTCATCAGGTGGGACCGTCACAGCCAGATTTGCTGCATCAAGTGAGGCAAAGATTCAAGATGTAATCCCTTAAAAGCAAGTTTGAGGGGGGAGGAGAGGGGGGGGAGCTCATCAGAATGTGGTAGCCAATGAATGGAACGTATCGGGAGGGAGGGGGGCGGGGCTCAAAGACGGCACGAAGTGCCACGTAGAACGCATCGGGGAGGGGGAGGGGGCGGGGCCAAAAGGATGGACGACGCGGCACACGAGAGTCGGCGGCGTGGACGTGGTGGTGCGCATGCCGCCGACTCTCGTGTGCCGCGTCGTCCATCCTTATACATGAACGTGAAGAGTGTGTTTTTGTGCATATGTGTTCAGATAATAAACATGATGAAGCACTTCAAAACGCATATTACATAATGTACTGTACTATATTTTCAAATGAGACACATGTGCAAAAATAGTAGAGCGCATATATAAACTGAAACTCAACTGATAAATACGTCATGGCATTGAGAGAGAAGTAAATATGTCTAAAGTTAAGTGTTAAGTGAATGTTGTGTGTGAATTTGCGTATGAAAGTGGTTCTACTAAATAATTCGTTTGCTTCGCAATGCATTTAAAAAGTGTATTAACCTTTTGTGTGTATAACCGCTGCCTTGTGATATTGTTTAGACATCGACGACTGCGTGAATGCACAGTGCCAAAATGGTGCAACCTGCATTGACATTCTGAAGGGATACAACTGTTCCTGTGTGCTGGGATACAAAGGGCAATACTGCCAATACAGTAAGGCTCATTTCCCACATTCTTTTGTATTAAGTCAAATGTAAGAGTTTTCAACTCAGATGAGCATTAGGCTTTGTTTATATCATACTATTTCATAGCTTTTGTGATTGTGCGGTATACCTCTGTTGTATTTTCCAGTTGTACTTTGTGTTGCTTGGCATGATGTCCAACGTGTATTCAGTTCTCTTAAGAAGCTGCTAGCATGTATAGCGAAACATCGGACACATCATGCCATGGTGAAGAACATGCAGTGCCAACCAAGAAGACACTCCGTAGAATTGTGCGATCTCTTTTGGTTACGCTGAGCCAGTGGTAGAATTTCCACATTCATATGAAGGAGCCCATGTTTAGGTTGACCGCTGTTGTTGAGGAAGGTCGAGAAAAGACGATCCCTGACTGCTCCAAATTAAGATTGGGATTAGAACTCATAAGTATTTGAATGTATTGTAAATTATTACGTTTGAGTGACTTTAGTTTAAGGGGTAGAATTCTGTACTAAAAATCCTCACGCATGGGTATGATTTCCAATTAAAATGAATGCCAATGAAAATAATCTTGTAACATTGATCTGATTTCTCATTCCAAAATCAATGTGGGTTATTTGGAAGTTGACCATAGTTGTCATCCTACAAAATACAATGTGGGCCATTTCTAGTTTTTTTAATTGATTTCTATGAGTATCAAATGTGTCAGCAAGAGTGTGAATTTGAGTGAATCACATACTCCTTTTCGTGACTATGTCTGCTAGGCTTTCTTAGCATTGTATTCCAAACCTATTCTTCTTTCGTAAGGCAGGAGGAAACATCAACAGTTTTGAAACATGTGAAAGTTGAATGCTAAGTTCTTTTAACAAATACAGGGAGGCGGTAGACACTGTATGGATTGCAGTGACACCGCTCGGGTGTGCATGCATGGTGCATTCGTCGGTGATGTGATTCTAAACTTAGCAAGTCACTTACCCTATCCTGCCATGAAATCTGTATTATGTTCTGCGTGAGTCCGTATGTAATACTTTTTTGTCCCTCTCAACGTCTTGTGTTTCATTTGCAATGTATGATTAATGTAGCTGTCAATAGTGTAAATCTTGGACTGTTAAAGTGACATTTACATGAATGATGTTTGTGATTTCTCCATAGATATCGATGACTGCATTGGAAACGAGTGTCAGCACAATAGCGCATGTCTGGATGATGTCAATAGTTACTTGTGCCTTTGTCCGAGTGGATGGACTGGTCTTCGCTGTGCAACTGGTAAACATACATATACCATGCTAC